TGTTGGCCCAGTTGGGTTTGATACGCAAGCAGATGGGCTCATGGCGAACCCAGTCAGGAGCCAGAAACTCATCCTCAGGATACATCTTCTCCCAAGTCTTCGACAGTAGCAGAAACAGATAGGGCCCATAGATAGGGACCTTGCAAGTAAACACTGCAAACCGGAGCTCACACCACATAATGTGTGAGACATCAAGTGGCTGAGACTGAGACGAAGAGCATCCTCGCAGATGAGCATCATGTCCACCATATAGGCATGAACCTTGTCCTTATCACCGATGCGAGGGAACAAGGAGTTGCGGAAGATGCGATACATGATGTCCAGGAAGGAGTTGAGCACCAAAGTCTTCTTGCCATTGGCTAGTGTCTTCTCAACCATGAACGGGGTAAGTCTGTCCTTGCTGGCAGAATCAGCATTTGCATGGGGGCGAACGCCCACTGGAGTGTTGAGTCCATCATTAGACACCTAGAGGAGATCCATGAACTCCTTCCAGGTAGCAGTCAGCTTACGGCCGTTGGTCATCCAGGTCATCCTCCGTTTCTCATCGGAGTGAAAGTAGACTGAGGCAAAGAACTGACAGATCAGCTCAGGGTCATAGTCGAGGTGGAAGGTGATCACATGCTCAATGCCAAACTGCTCCACCAAGTCCAGAGCCTCTCCAAAGTAGTCACGGTACTTGTCCTTCCTCTGCTTGTTCTTGATGACATCCAGATAGATGTTGACCTGTTGCTTGTTGCAGAATAGCTCACAGCCTCTAAAGTTGGCACGTGGATGCACATAAGGGTGAAGCTGCCTGAGACGGACATAATCAGCTTGGGCGATCTCATCCATGCCCTTAGCGGGCTCCTTCTGCTTGCTGGCTGTGGTCTTGACATTGCACTTGGACGCAGATGATCCCTCTGGAACTTCTCTTGGGTTGCGCAGATGCTTGGAGCCAGTGTCACGAATGGGATTGGACCGGCGAGAGCCACCACCTGAGACACACCCGCAAAGCACCAAAACAAAATGCGAAGAGGATCAATGCAAAGGTCAAGAAAAACAGCACAGGAAACTCATAGAAGGCATACAAGAAAGTTGTCATGCGATAGATGTGGGCCACGGGAGAACTGCCATAGTCTGCGGTATTAAGGGGTTAGTACAGCTCCAGACGCGATAGTACCGTGCGAGGTCACGGTAGTACCGTGCGACGTTACGGTAGTACCGTGGCTGGAGCGGTAGTAGGCTCTTAGTACCGCACGGGGCGCGGTAGTACCGCACCCGAGGGGCGGTAGTACCGCGCCAGCGGTAGTACCGCGCCAGCGGTAGTACCGCGCCGTACGGGCGGTAGTACCGCGTCGCGTCAGATCTAACCTGAGTTTTGAATCTGAAAAGAACCGCGAAACCATGGCGGTGCTACGGTGATCCGATCTAGCGTAAGACAACAATAAAAGTAGAAATCCTATGCAATACCACACTCCTTCATCCTATTCTTGCAGAGATTAAGCCTAAGAATCTCAAGAACACACAAGCCTCCCCCAAACCCTAAAAGCACCAAACACAGACAAAAGGAGAGGGAGTTGGGGAAAAACCTTGGTCCATAGCAAGAGCACGTGGTGGGGAACGATCCCACCGGTCGGAATCACGGGAGGGCAGCCGGTGGAGGAGATCCGGTGACGAACGCCGGTTCCGTTCTTGAGCACGGGAGAGGAAGAGACGACGTGAAGAGAGAGGACACGAATGGGTATGGGGAGTTAGAACTCCCCCTGCCCGTCCTTATCCCCACGCGCTCGAACCGACGCGGTAGTACCGCGTATCATTGCGGTAGTACCGCTCGGGCGGTAGTACCGCGACAAGGCGGTAGTACCGCGCCGAGGCGGTAGTACCGCTCAACCAGGCGGCAGTAAAAAATTACTGCCGCGTGGGGACGGTAGTACCATGCTCCTACCAGCGGTAGTACCGTGACTGGCCGCGGTAGTACCGTGGCCTGTCGCGGTAGTACCGTGAGCTCAAGGCACCGAGAGTTTCAAACAAGAGAGGAACAAGCCTTTGCACGGAAACTTTCACACACAAGAAATCACAAGGAGAACAGCAGGAAATCACCAAGTGACACAGTCTCTCGAGAAGAGAGGGCGGTGGCCAAAGCCACCTATGTTTGAGTTGGATGGTATGGCACCGCGAAGAATTATCCTTGGGCCCATGACCAAAACTCGTCTTTGAAGCACAAGTACCATCAAAAATGGCTAATGTGAAAGATATGATCTATTTATGCATAATGGGGGGAGGGAAATTTCATTGAGGGAACAACACTCCCCCTATGTCCATGCCTACACCTAAACGAGACAACAAGTTGAGTGTGGTGGGGGGTGCACGGTTTCAAGTCACATTGCTCAAATCAATGATATTTAGCTCATGCCTTAACTCGCGAAATCTTGCTTCATCCAAGGGCTTCGTGAAAATATCTGCAAGGTTATCGTGAGTGTTGACATACTTGAGCTCGATCTCCCCTTGCCTAATGTGATCCCGGATGAAGTGATACCGAATCTCAATGTGCTTCGTCTTGAAGTGTTGCACCAGGTTGAGAGAAATCTTGATGGCGCTTTCATTGTCACACCAAAAAGGCACTTTGTCACAAATGACACCGTACTCCTTTAAAGTTTGCCTCATCCATAGGAGTTGAGCACAACAACTACTGGCCGCCACATACTCCGCTTCGGTGGACGAGAGAGACACAAAACTTTGCTTCTTGGAAGACCAACTTACCAAAGAGCAACCAAGAAATTGGCACCCTCCGGAAGTGGACTTACTATCCACTTTGTCTCCCGCCCAATCAGAATCCGTGAACCCTTCAAGCTTGAAGTTTGCTCCTCTTGGGTACCATAGGCCAAAGTTTGGGGTATGAGCCAAATATCGAAAGATTCGCTTGACCGCCACATAGTGACTTTCCTTTGGTGCGGCTTGGAAACATGCACACATCCCCACACTCAACATGATATCCGGTCTAGATGCACAAAGGTAAAGCAAGGAGCCAATCATGGAGCGATATACCTTTTGATCCACCGCTTTACCATTGGGATCGATGTCAAGTTGGCACTTGGTAGGCATTGGTGTAGAAGCCGGCTTGACATCACTTAGCTTGAATCTTTTAAGCATGTCTTGAGTGTATTTGGCTTGGTTGATGAAGGTTCCTTCTCTTCTTTGTTTGATGTCGAAACCAAGGAAAAACTTCAACTCTCCCATCAAGGACATCTTAAACTTGGAGGTCATGAGAGCGGCAAATTCTTCATTGAAAGTTTTGTTAGGAGAACCAAAGATAATATCATCAACATATAGTTGGCATACAAATAACTCCCCGTTGACCTTGTTAGTAAAAAGAGTGGGGTCGATTTGTCCTACTTCAAATCCACGATCTTGTAGCAACTCGGTAAGGTGATCATACCATGCACGTGGGGCTTGTTTAAGGCCATAGAGTGCCTTATCGAGTTGATACACATGGTCCAGAAAGTAGGGGTCCTCGAACCCGGGGGTTGCTTGACATAGACCAACTCATTAATGGGACCATTAAGAAAAGCACTTTTCACATCCATTTATTGCAACTTAAAGTTGTGATGAGAAGCATATGCGATCAACAAACGAATGGATTCAAGACGAGCAACGGGAGCAAAGGTTTCACCGTAGTCGATACCCTCGACTTGGGAGTAGCCTTGTGCTACCAATCTCGCCTTGTTGCGAATGATGTTCCCATGAGCATCTTGCTTGTTCTTGAAGATCCACTTGATCGATTGTAGCAAAACACGAGTTCGTCCGTCCCAGCACCCTGCGATGCCGTTTCCAGCAAAAAAGAAAAATTGTTGTCGCCATCCTCACAAGTTCTTTGTCGCTATGGCAGCAAATTCGGACGCCTGTTCTAGCAAAACAAGAGTTGGTTCCAGCAAAAGGGAAAAATGGCCGTCCCTATCCTCACCGGTCGTTGCTCATTGCAACAAATTGGGGCAGCGGTTGCTGTCGCCGTAGCCGGTTGCAGCATCGCTGGCCACCATCTCCAGCGCGCGTGGACGTCCTTTTCAGCACCCGCTCCGCATAAGCCATCCTCGCAGCCGCCCCAAAGTCATGACCATGCAATGGTAGCAGCACGTCCCCCCCCCCCTCCCGCGTCACGCGCAACCGTGAGGATGGAGGACCTGCAGGCCATGACCTCCTCCACTTGCCGCGCGCGGTGGTGGGTGCCTCTAGAAGTAGGCGCATGTTTGCGGGGCAGGTTGGTGCGCCGATGGACGAGGTCATCGGCGGCGAGAAGGTGATTTGGGATGCCATGGGGAAGAAGATGCGGGGGTACGAGTGGCCAAGAACGCTCGGTGCGAGAGGATAAGAAAACTTAAGCGGTGCTATGTGTGGGCCCTTGCGAGAGTGGGACGTGACCGGTGGAACGTTTCAGCCGACGCACCGACTGGAAACGTTTCCCTATGAATGCACGCACGCATAACCACCGTATGAGCACATCTGAGAGACTGAGCCACATACACCTTCATAGTCAACGAAATCGTCTTCTCCAAATGAACACACATGATTGGAAGATCTAAAATAAATTCAGAAAAATGCAACCACCAATGTGATGTCTAGGACTTGATGCCTGGTTGGTTGATTTCACCACAAGAAACCTGACCATGTGATCTCAGTTCGCTGCCACCCAAGTAAGATAATGAAAATGAATCATGGGTCTACAACTCTTCATTCATATATTAATATTAAGAAAGGTGCTCATTCTGTAAACACTCTTATATTTCTTTACGGAGGGAGTACTATACATTGATGTATAGTTTTGTTATTCCATATGAACAAGAGACGATGCCCTCTGTATATCGCACACAAATAGACAAACAAAATACACAATATAGAGAGGAAACATCGCGGAAAATAGACGAGCACTAGGAAAAACGATACAAACCAGACAACTGCGATGAAATAAAATTAACACACGTACGTCCGCTTGTAGTAATAATTGATTTTGTAGCAGATGGAGATGCTTATTCGGTGGGTTCTGTAGCCGTCGTGTCAATCCATAACGGGTCACCCCCCGTGCCAGTGGAGACCGCGGAGGCGACCCTGGCCACGGCGACCGCAACCTTGCAGAAAAGGGAGACCTTGCTGATGCTGGATGACAACCCAGTGTCCCATGTCGTCGGCACGCTCTGCGGCGTGCCCACCTCCCATGTCCCCGGCGCGCTCTGCGGCATGCCCACCTCCCATGTCGTCGGCGTTCCCACCGCACATGCCGTCGGCGCGCTCACCTGCGCGACCTGAGAGCGTTTGTAGCAAGCTTCCATCATGCACGCCACATGCGTGTACGCATGCTGGCCGCCGCCGTCGAGGTAGCTGTAGCACCAAAACCTGTCGCGGCGCCCGCCCTGCCCTTGCCGGCACAACCCGCAGCTACCATGGGCAGGCGCCTCCCTGAGGAGGTCGAACACGCCGTCGTGCTGGACCACGCGCTCCGCCAGGTTGGCGCACTGCGGGTGGAGGCCGATCTGGCGGTGGCCGTCGTGGAACATGAAGCCGAGCACCTGGTCTCCGCAGGCGCCGCAGAAGCTGCCGCGGCCGGCCAGGGTGCCGCCGGGAGGGCTGTAGCGGAAGTCGAAGGTGCAGCCCTTGAAGAAAGGATGCGTGAGCGTCAGGTCCTCCACCTTGAAGGGGACGCAGCACACGTGAAGGTCGAAGTCGCACGGGTCGCACCGGTACCTGCGGTCGTCCTCGCCGTAATGCCGGCAGCCGTCGCACTGGAACAGCGCGCCGCCGGTGGCGTACAGCGTGAGCACGTGGCCTGGGTGGGACGGGTGGGTTATCCGTAACGGAGGACCCGTAGGGGGCGTCACCATGGTTGTCTTTGGAGCTCCCTCTCTCCCAAAGGAACTGGCAAGGCGCTTTGCCTTGCAAAGCTAACAAGAGAGCGACATGTATTTGTAGAAGAAATCTTTTGCAAATTAGCAGGTCGAGTACGAGTTGGCATGACCCTGTCAAATGTCTTTTGCTTCACCCATGAAACGCCAGCTTTGTTGCCAGTTCCTCAAAAATAAAATACCTTCACACTCAATTTTTTATACGAGTGACAGGTTCGCTACAAGTTGACATGTCCGCGACAACAATAGAAAAAACTTCGATTCCACTGCGAAAAGTCCTGGCTGTCATTTAAGACTTTTCTGCTTGCATTTTCCTGATCTAGCCTGCGTGTGTTTTTTTAGAAAAGGAGGATGACCCCCGGCCTCTGTATCTGCATCTGGGAGATGCATACAGCCACTTTATTGATTGTTCTCGAGGACCGTACAAAGTATTACAACAATATGCCTAAATCCACCATCTTGGCAACATATGCCGCCACTCATATCCAATATGATGAAGGGGTGCTAGCTGGGCCACTACCCTAACCACTCACCTAAGCCTAACATCAAAAGTCGGAAGCCGAAACTCATTCTGAAGCCCAGCCGAGCCACATACCGGGTGTGGGGCACAATCCGGTCAGACGCACTCGTGTGTCGTCGCCGCCATCTTACACATGTCTTCAGATCATATTGAGACTTCTACCTTGTCTGGCCACTCAGCCATCGACGTCACCATGACGCCGGACAGCAACCTCCTCCTGCGCGAGCCCATCTCCACGCATCGGACGTGGAGTCTCCACAGCGCCATGCCATCGATCTCCGTTGCCATCAATGTGTGAGATGAAGCACCGCTCCACCATCCCTCCAGCCAGCACTTGCTCCAAAACGATGCCCCCAGAAGGGAAAACGATAGAACGCCATCCTCATTCGATCCGGAATACCCAGATCTAGGGTTTCCCCCTGAGCACCCCGAGCCTGATGGCGCAGACTATCAACGATGCCTCGACCATCGGCAGTAGCTCCACCAGACGAGCGTCGCCTACGTCGCTGCAGCCTCCAGAATGCATGTGTCGATACCGAACCGCCACCACGTCCACCGCCGCTTGAGCAGCCCCCGAGCAACGCCTTCAAGAAGGAGCACGCCACCGTGGTATCGCCATCGCTTGCAATAGGGAGGTCTGAGGTTTTCACCTGAGCTCCTGGGAGGGGTGGAAGGAAGGAGGTCCTCTCTGAAGCCTCCATCGAGGGAAGCAACACCCAAAGGCACTGTCATCAGAGTGACCGCCACGCCGGCCAAGAGATTCCCCCGGAACCCTTCCAGCCACCGGATCTGCAAGGCCAGCACCCAAGAACGGTGACCGAAGCCACCAAGGGCCGGATCCGCTGCAGATCGGGGTCGAGGACGAACATCGCCATGGCCACCAACATCCAGGGAGGAACCGCCGCCGCAGCCGAAGCCCACCACCTCCCCGCCATCCACATGGCCAGGGAAGTGGCCCACCTGTCCATGCCGGTGCGCCCGCCGCCAAGCTGCGCCGCGTGTCACCAGCCAGGGCCGCCGCCATGGATCCGAGGCTCCCCGCCCGAGGAGGAGATGCCTGGATCCCCGCCGCTACCTTCACCAGTACCACGCGGTGGCGCCGGTGAATACCTCGGGCGGCGGCGGAGAAGGGGGACGCGCAG